GGCAGTGTTATCACATCGCGATAAAGAGGGTCGCGAGTTGCCCATCGCCTACGCGTCAAGGACGCTAAACAAAACCGAAAGGAACTATGCTCAAATCGACCGTGAAGCGTTGTCCATTGCGTTTGGCGTCCGCCATTTTCATCAGTATCTCTGTGGAAGAAGATTTGTCATAATAACTGATCACAAACCACTCCTCGGTATTTTTCAACACCAGAAGCAGATTCCTTTCGTGCTTTCCCCGCGAATGCTACGGTGGACGCTCATGCTGTCGGCTTACACGTACACCCTGGAATACCGACGAACCCAGGACCATGGAAATGCAGACGGCCTCAGCAGGCTGCCGATGCCGGTCACCCGGAAAGAAGCAGAAGTTCCAGGAGATGTTCTACTCCTCGAAGCTGTCCAGTTCCCGCCGGTAAATGCAGTGGACGTGGCCAGAGAGACTAGTAAAGACCCTCACCTGTCCACGGTCATGCAGTGGATTCGCCATGGCTGGCCGCAAGAATACCTATCTGAGGAGTACCACGTGTACAAGGTGAGGAGCCAGGAACTTTCGATCCAGCAAGATTGCATAGTATAGGGGAACAGAGTGATTCTGCCCAAGTCGTTGAGAATGGAGGTGTTGCAGCTGTTGCATGGGAACCATCCTGGAATAACGGCCATGAAGGCAATTGCTCGATCCTACGTTTGGTGGCCAAAAATCGATGAGGACATCGATTCCTTTGTGAAACACTGCAGAAAATGTCAACATAACCGACAGAGTGAGCCCCAGGTGCCCACTCATTTCTGGATCAAGCCTGATAGGCCGTGGAGCAGAATCCATATCGACTTCGCTGGGCCAGTAAACGGAGCGTGCTTTCTTGTGGTCGTGGACGCATATTCCAACTGGGCAGAAGTGGAAATTGTACCGTCACTAAGCTCGTCGATGGTTATCGAAAAGCTGCGCAAATTATTCGCGTCATATGGACCACCTGACCTAGTCGTGTCGGATAATGGAACAGCCTTTGTGAGTCAAGAAATGCAAGAATTCTTGAAGATCAATGGAATCAAAAGTATGCAGACTGCTCCTTATCATCCGGCTAGCAATGGTAGGGCTGAGCGAATGGTTCAGGAACTAAAAATGGCCCTCAAAAAGCAAGAGGAAGGAACAGTGGCATGCAAGGTGTCAAGATTTTTGTTTAAACAACACTCAACTCCTCACGCTGGTACCGGGAAGACTCCGGCGGAGCTAATGTTAGGACGGAAATTACAGTCTCCACTGGACAAGCTTCACCCAGACAGCCACGCGGATGGCTACTGCGCGTTCAGTGAACCAAAGAGAGTGTTTAGTCGTGGGGATTTTGTGTATGTGCGGAACTTCGGGGTGGGCGCTAAGTGGTTAGGAGCCCGAGTCCTGCAACGTCTGGGACATGTGATGTACAAGGTGCAGACATCTGATGGCGTGACACATCGGCGTCATGCAGATCACGTAAGGAAGGCATGGGCGAGTACACCTCCGTCCACAAGGCCTGGAATAAACGAGTCCTTCAAGCTACCGTCTAAAACTCAGCCAAGTCATAGTGAGCCGCATTCAACACCGCAGCACCGACCAATGCAGCCACCGCCGGTTGCAACATCGTCGGAACAGCAAGGTTCGCCACAGCCGCGTCGCTCTTTCCGAGAACGACGACCTGTGTGTCGATACGGCGTCGACAGCGACTAAGGGCGAAGAGATGTGATGATCATCAATCCGTCTTGCACCCTGCTGGTGTCAAGCCGCAAGGACGATGAAGAAGAAGCCTGCTTGAGAACGGGGCAGTGTATGACGCTGGGGGTCATCTGTCATGCAAGTGTAAATATAACTAATTTACTGTGAGTCGGCTTCAGTCATTACAGAATGGTAGTCAACATTTTTTAACAAGGACTGCTTTTCGGGCAAGGGATGAACAAAAATATGAATGATCTTGTCCAGGTAATTAGAACAAGTAAATAACTGACCGACTAATACATTGCGTTATTGATGAAAAAAAGAAGTATTGCTGCAATAAATCCTACAAAAGAGAAAAATTTGCTATTAATCTATACGTACACGAAAACGGCTGTTCTTACAGCAAGCCGAATAGCTTTAAAGCAGGTGCCTGCAACGATTTTTCATCCCCTCACTCAATAAAACGTAGTCCTTGCAGCTGAAAATAAGTGTGTACTTCGCACTCACAAAAAAAAAAGGAAGAAAAGCGACCGAACGTAGAATTGTTGATTGACACAAAAGGTTAAAGATCGCAGGAGCTTCCTCGCGAAAAGTTGCTATGCATGGTTATTCGGTGCTGCAGGGCTGAAACAACTCCTAGGCCCCAACGTGACGTATACCTTTCGCTTCGATTCACAGACATTCCAACATTCCAACAAAGCTAACAGAATGCGAAAATGTCTTGCTAAAAGCACTCAAAGTTCTATCGATCCTCGAACACATCCGGGAATCCGAGCACCGGTACGGCGATACGACTGATTCTGTCTCACAGGTGCTGATATCCAAAGCGATCTTGCGCAAAAACGGTATAAAGTCTCATTCCTTCGTATTTTAACATTATACTTCCATCAGCGAGCACGAAGAAGCCTGAAGTCGTCGGAAAGCAGCTGCACATCACGGCTACCGCCGCAGCGAACAACTCGAATCCTGCAGCTCTGGGCGCTGCCATTTTACCGATGACGTCACTGCTCAATTTTGAGGTCACATGGTCACATGACGAGTGGTCACTTTTGCGTACAACATGGCGGCAACCGGGGGCTGGGGGACCGCAGCTTCCGCTGCTCTCTGACTGATTCGGTGTTTCGCTTGCGTTCACGGGCTCCCCACTCCCCTCCTCCATTTCCCCGTGAGCTGTGCATGAGCTGGCCCTGACGTCAGCTGTTTTGCAAGTCACCAGCCAAACGCTCCTCGAAAAATAAAAAAAAGTACGATCCCGTGATGATGTTAACAGTTTAACACTTTTCGTGATAGTAGATATACTGCTCGAGAGATACCAGCTGAATCACTGATTACTGTTGCTTTTTCCGAGGATTGCTATGCCACAGATGACTCTGGCAGGAGCAAGGTGGTGCAGGGCTCATTGTCTTAATTATTATTGCATGGCATAAATACCTTGTTTGTGTTGGCGACTTTTTGTGGGATGGATGCTTCATTGCATGTTGGGTTGTGCTCACACCCTGATTCTGTTTTGTTGACAAGTTAATAAATGGCTGTTTATAAACATAACCAGAAGCCAATGGTCTACGAGCCTGCACCACTAGCAACTTTAAGCTATGTTGGTGATATTGGATTCAAATTACTTTTGCAAAACCATGACAACACATGCTTTTTTTGCCACGATTCTGTTATATGTATTGGAGCAGGCGTTCGATACCAAATGATCGTTTAATCGTGCGCCGGTTCTCACCCGGTGAGGCACTGAGGCCCTATGTGGGACTCGGATTTCGCGCGATGCCCTTAACCGTTACAAGCGAGAGATCGTCGCGTTTGGTCAAGCCTTGGCAGAATCACGTCACAGCCAGTCGCTCGCACTTGTAGCCACTGCGGTTTGTCCATGTTCGCGTTAAAATAATTCTGACCGGACGAGAGAGTGAGCGTTGTTCTCTGTGGTTAGCGAAACTTGCGTGATAGTATTTGCGCTATTATCGCATTCGTGTCCGCGCGCAACGTTTTCCACAGCGGCAGAGGGCCGCGGTGCCCTTATCAATCGCCGGGTCCTGGGGGAACTACATCTTACAGGCATGTGGGAGCCGAGGGGCTCTGGTAGTGTGTAGCGCAGCGGAACCACTGGAACCGACTGGAACCGGGCAGTTGTGCCAGGGTCTGAAATCGGTGGCACCGGTTTGTATCTCGCTTGGTACCGCGCGGTTCCGGACGGGATACAAACTCGTGCCCCAATTTCAGACCGAGGAGGAACCGGCATTTTTCATTCCGGCCCATGTCAGACATTTTCGCTCCCTACACCTCGTTCGCCAGTTATGTAACATCCTACTGCAAGTAAACAACAATGCAAACAAAATAAATTAAAACGTAAAACGTAATGTCCTATAGCAAAAAAAAAAAAACAAAAAAAAAACAAATAAATATTTTCGCTAACAAAAAATGCAAGCAGTTTTTCGTCGACTGGAATGGGGTTCACTAAAAAAAATGTTGCCAGTTAAACTATTTTAAATCTACCGTAATTCTTGAGTATTGCTTTCAGGAATTAGACGGATGAATCAGTGTGCCATGTTTGAAAATATATATATTTGATAATCACTATTTTGTAGGTATGCTGCGGTTTAAATCAAATTAATATCGTCTAAATCAAATAAATTGATTTCACTTCTTGAAAAGAAAATACTGAATGTTTTCAACCCTGTCGTAAAATACTTCCCCGCTCTCGTACGAAGTGTGCGTCTGCGTCTCAACGTACGGTTGGCCTATGGCGATTGCCGTTTGGGGGCAAAACAAATACGTGCTGTCTGACCTCACACTACCATTGGTGTCGCATAGCGACGTCATGTTGGTTGTGCGTGGCGTTTGATATTCGGCAACCGCACCTGTTTTGCCAAACCGTAGGTGCAAATGCCGTTTCGGCTAAAAAATGTTCTCACCACGCACATAAAAATACAAAAACAAAACAAAAAAAAGGACGAAAACTACACCGACTTGATTGAACGGAAATAACAATTGCAGCGTTCAGGCTTCTATGCAGGAGACATCATCGCTGGTGGCTGGAACAGAAGTGACGCATTGGCCTGCGAAATCCCAACCGTTGTCAATCATTCTTGTTCCTGCCTTAGATGTCTCCTGGATGGGAAACAGAACGACCGACGGAATTGTTCTTTTTTTTTCTTTTCAGTCAAGGCGGTGGAGTTTGTTTTATGATGCCAAGTTTCGGCTCCTGGAAAGTTTTTTTTTGCACTCTGGAAGAAACGCGGTATATTGTATCCCCAAAATAGCCAACGGCCTATCAGCCGCATTTTAAAACGCCCCAATCTGGCGCCTGTCCTCAGAAGAGTTCACACTGTTCCTCTGGGTACATGGTGCTCCCGGGCGCACAACGGAAGGCGTCGTGGAAGCCCCCATCATGACGGAGGGCCGCGTTCCAGTGGGCGTCGTCGTCAGAGGACGCGTACTCGTTCGGATCGGCTTTCTGCTCGCACGACTGCAGCACGAGGTAGACGAAGAACAGTTGCCTGGCGCCCACGTCCTTGTTCGGAGCCACTCGCAGACGCAGTGGCCTGTCCTTGCTCCTGGCGGTCTTCTGGAAGAGGCGGTACGCGTAGTGGGCCACCCAGGCATCGCGGAGCCGGGTCATCCGGTATAGGTCTTCGGGCTCTCCGACGCAGCGCTGGAGGGCGGCCAGCTTCGACCTGGAGGGATGAGTGTTGTCGGGAATTCCGTTCAGTGCGTATCGTCATCTATGGCCAACTATCGTGCAGACGCACACATGGCGTGGATGGGGAGGGCGGGGGGGGGGGGGGGGGGAGGGGAGGAGGACCCACTACGCGCGACACGTAGTGGGCCTTAGGTCTTATGTCACGCTGTGTTGCCGAATCGTGAAAAATTCCCCATAAGCCTATCTCTACAAAAAGAAACAGGACCTATAAATAGCTACACTGTATCTGGTTCCACGGGACGAAGAAAAACCTAAATTGAACGCATGCAAAATCTGGGGAATATTTTCTTTTGAGCTCTTAAAGACCTCCCTACAGTGTGGGCAATTCCTCACGATTCGGCAAACCTGGCTAGGGGGTGCTAAAGTCACTAGGTGCATGGCGCAAACCGCCGCCCCAAGAAAATAGCGTACTACTGCATCCATCCGCCCGGTGCGCAGATGTATCGCTGAACTAAAAACTAACTTTTCCGTATGTGTATTGTCCACTCTGTGGGCAAAGGCGGCGCCATCAACTTGCATGCCGCGCCATGAGGAGTGTCGTTCTTTGTTGGCAACAAAAAAGCCGCCGCACGCGGAGCACGCCCTGCGAATGAGCTTGTAAAGTCCCTTGATAAAATTTACGTAACAAGTACAGCCATCCGTTGTTGTGGAAACAACCAAGACGAGTGCCACGAGCAGGTGCTCCACCCAACGTTGGCTCCGCCGGCATTGACTTCCATGGGTCGCTAATTTCAGCGCCGCGGCGCCACTTGGATCCAAGGCCCGCTCGAGACACTGGCCTCGTGCATTGGCGCATTTGACGCTACTTGCAAGACAAACGCAAGGGGCTTTATGAGCTTGGCTATGACTGTCAGTAAATTGTATCAGAAAGAAAACAAAGGCTATGTTCAAAAATTTACTCGATCTCACTCTAGGGTAAAGCTTCTGTACATTGGCGTTTGAAAACCTACCCGCGTCCAGTTTTGCTCAATCTGTTTTTGTCATGTGACATGAATCATGATCTGTCGAAGTACCTCGAATCCATTTGGGTAAAGTTTGAAACAGAAAAAAAATTACATTGTTACGCTTAGAATATCGGCACTCCGTTCGCTGATCTGCTATACTCTGTTTCACCTTATGATGTACCGCAGGGAAGGCTACAAGCGCGAGCTCCTCGCTCTGGGGTAGATCTCGGCTGCACAAGCTCTCGTGCATTAAATTTGTTTGTGCTGACCTTCCTCGCATAAAAACTGTGTTATGGGTGGAAGATCTTATGTTTGAAAAAGTTTGAAATATGTTCCAGCAGTACTATTTCGTAGACCTTTGCAAACGGATAAGGGCAGCTGCCAACGCTGTGAGCTCGCGCTTCTAGCCTTCGCTACGGTACAACATAAGGTGAAACGGAGTATAGTGGGCGCAGCCATCTTGGTGCTTGTTGCAGGGCAGACGCAACTTTCGATCGTCACAATTAAAAAATGCGACTTCCTCAGCTTTAGTAACGGTGTTAGGGAACTCAGGTGATATTGCTTTGTCATGTTGCGAACTGCTTTAAGATTTCTGGAAGGAAAAGCATTTCCTGTGATTTCAAATAAAGCTTCAAATAACTGGCAACACTAGCGTCACACACACACACACACACACACACACACACGCGCGCACGCACGCACGCACGCACGCAGGCACACACACACACAAACAAACAAACAAACAAAGGGGGGGGGTTGCGGTGGGCTGCCGCTCCGGGTACCGCTGACCCTAGTTACGCAAGTGACTAACAACCATGATTTTAAGCCCAAAACGGACTGAAATGTCATTATTCTGAAGCGCACCTTATTTAATGGCTCTAAGTTAGTACTAGATTCAGTGAATATACTCTACTATTTCCCTGCGCCGTCGATCGGGCTAGAACAGCCCATTGTAATTAATATTCCCCCATAAAATGTGTTACTTAGAGCCATGGCCATTATCGGAGTTACCGTCATTAGAGAGTTTTAGTAGATCGTTCCCATGACTCCGATAACCATACCCGATACTCCGCCACCGCCTCCCTTGTGCATGCATAGTATCGTTATCGGGGCTATCGGAGATATCGGAACGATCTACTAAAACTCTCTATTATCCAAATTTGTAGTATGGAGGTTTTCAGACAAAAAAGTTGCCCTGTTTAATAAACCTGCATAGCAAACTTTTTTTTACCCAGATTATGGCCAAGGTTTTATTGTGCGCGGGAAGTTACAAGGTGCCATCAAGATTTCTTATTGTCTTACAAGTCGGAAAGTGTAAATTGTTGGGGCGGTACGTTTTCGGATAACATTCTGGAAACAAAGCTCACGTCTTTCGTCCTCAACACTGATTGATAACAAACGCACCCACTGACCTTGCGTCCTCGTCGAGCCACTGCTGTGACGGATCGGCAGAGTTGATCTCCGAGAGGAGCATATCAAAAATACAGCGTCCGATGAGGACGCCGGCTCGTGCGAGCTGAAATGCGTTGATATTTTTGGCGAACGCCAGGGTTATGTTGAAAACAAGCATCGGTATGTATATGGTTCGTGGCCCACGCTCGCTCCAACAGTTGGTGCTGAAAGTGGACTGGGACCACCGTTCCGACGAGCTACGGGTCAGGCCAGCCAGGAAGCTGTGCTCGTGCGCGGCCAAGTAAGAATCCAGGCCGTTGCTACGCAAACTAGGAATTGCGCCAACATAATCATTAAAACGATCATTGTCCTTAATCCAGGAGGTACTCAAAACCTTGAAATCCGTATTGTTGATTATGCTGCGGATGGCAGCCTTAGAAGAGTCGCTAAAGACAGCAGCGGTGTCCGTGCCACGGATGAATTCCTGCGCCATCTCGCTTACGAGCTCTGTGAATCTTGCTGCGGACCCGTGCAGGTCGATATCTGCCAGCGAAGACCGAAGGAAAAGTGATGGAATGGCTTTTTCGACAGTGCGAAGGCAGAGCTTCCAGCGTGGAACCGACGTCCTGGGTGCACTGTAGAGGATGCTGCTGTAGACGTCCAACAAATCGGATTGCGGCAGAAATGGCGACATTTGAATCATCGTCCGGACGCCAAGGAAGTTCATGACGGTGTGGGGCGCAGTCTTCTGAACAAGTCCAACCACGTTGGAGAAGAAGTATGGTGACTGGATGTACACTTCGGAGTCCTGGCTGAAGACCGAGTGAGGTACACCGTCGAAGACCTCTCGAAGGAACTCGTTCGCTGGAGAGATGTACGCGAGCTTGCTGATCTGGAAGCTTCGGTCGCCTGAGTAGAGCTGATAGAGCCTTTCCAGTTCAGTCGCGAACCTGACCACGTTGAGCCTATGAACGGGTGGGATGAAGTCTTTCTTCAGGGCCTTAAGGGAGGCAAAAGTGGCGGATGAATACATTTGAATAGCATCTCTGATGTCTATGCCTTCGATCGAGGACAAAGCCTTGGGCAGCTCAAGAGAGGCAATGTCTTTAGAGTTGTACGGATGGGACGAGACGGTAACGCTGAAGAACGCCGCTACACCTGTTTTTCGAAGCAACTTGGCCGCCATCTTCCAGACAGACAAGTCTTTGCGAACCGGTGGCGTAAGCGGAAACCCCTCAAGAGATAGCGAAGCCATGAGCTCGAGCAGGGGGTTCCAAACGTTTTCTTTGGTATGGTTCCCGGTAACGCACTGGTCAACGAGGCCCCGCATCGCCAATGTCTTCTTGTCGAGCTTTTTGTCCCGGTTCATGATCATTGAGTATATCCTTTCTTCAAGTACAGCCACATAATCGTCGTTCGTGGAAGCCGGATAAATATTTCCAGCGACCGGAAACTGACTCGTCCAACGACTGCAGACGAACCGGTAAAAATTATCGCAAGGATTTACATTCCATTCCAGAAGGTGGCCGAAATACGCTGCATCCTGAATGCAACTTAGCGTGGTACACGTTTCGAATGCTAGTCGCGTATCATGGAGGAAACTGAATTTCTCTCTGGGCCTCAGTACCATGACAAGGACTGCCACGGTGACTAGGACCGCCAAGAGTGCCAATGGATAGAGGCAGAGCTCCCGGTTGAGAACGAGCGAATAGTTTTGTTTGTATAGCACGCGAGCATTGTCCGCAATGATCGAACCTCGTTCGGGGGCACCTCGTATTGCTGTGGTGCCTGATGGCGGCTTCAGTTTCTTGGTCGAACGTTCGAAATTCTTGTCGAAAGTTGCAACTTTCTCTTTTTGTCTTCCCAGGCGCATTCCGGACCGAGATTCCTTGTACCTTGGAACCGGTACACTTTGGATATTTGACGGATTCACCCTTGTTTCTGTGGTGTCTGTGCTACTATAGAACGTTTTCGCCTCTTCGCTTTCCGTCCCTGAAACATTGCTAGCGCAGCTAGATGACATGATCGTTCGTTGCTCTTCTGGGGCTACCTGACATCCACTGACCGAATTCATCAGTACTAGCGAACCGGACTTTCGTTTGCTCGACGTCGAAGGCTTTCTGCTGGCAATGTCTTGCACTGACCATGACCAAGCAAGCAGTGGTTCCTTCATACGGGTTGGATAAACGTACTCGGATTTGTTTTCGGATTGATCACTGTATATCACGGAACCTCGTGAGGCAGGCAGTATAAGGAGCAGCTTTGAATTCTTGCGTGCTGTGATAATTTCCTTCGTCCTTTCTGAGGATTTCTGCGAAACCCTCGGTGATGTTTGTTCCGGAATCAATTCGTGAATTTCTTTCGGAATACTTTTTGATCTGGTACCCAGAACCTTGCCTGAAGTCATCGTTGAAGGCGCTGCCGACTCCGATCTTTCAGTGGTTTTCTCTGAGGGCGGGGATGATTTCCTCAAAGAAGCGGTCCTTGGCTGAGGTACAGGTTCAACTGTGGGTAAGTCTGAGGATCGGGCGGCGAACGGTTGGGCGTCTGCGGAAACGGATTGGCGTCTGCAGTTCATTGCTCTTGAGAAGCGTCAACTGGTTGATTAGGCAGTTTTCAAGCTGGGAAGATCCAAATGGCAGCGACGAAACGAGGTCCTTGGAACATGGCTGCTCGAGGAGCTCAGTACCGTTTCACTTCTTCTTTCTTTGTTCCTGTCATGAATGATTCAGAATGGCAAGGCGATGCCCGCCCCTGCCCGGTTTTATTTGCGTGACTGTAAATTTCACCGGCGTGTGTTCGTGCGATCAGTGCTGTATGATGCATGCTTGTTACATACCCCTTGCAGGTTAGCGTAATTTTTTATGGACAGCCTGCGCCAATGTCTCCGCTTCTCAAGGATAGATTGCCTGAACACGACCGCTTTATCACTGCCGTTTTCTATAAACTGTATATGGAGAGCAAGTGCTCCAAAATTTGTGTTTGGAGCATCGGAACGTAGGGAAGGCCATGCCAACAAAAGGCCAACACAAAAAGGCACTGAGAATACGAGATAACGAGCGCGTCGTCATTGGTTGAGGGCGGAGAAAAACAAACGCACGTAGATGCATCTGGAGGCAAACGCACGAAGTGCGCGAGGAATAGACGAACTTTCACGCCGTATTGACCTTTTTAAAAGGGCGCCGCCATCTTGAATTTCTTCTCTGCCAATATGGACGAAAACATTGTTTTGCCGTCGCCACGCCAATGGAAGACATTCGGGATATAAGCGTAACCATCACACATTCCCGTTTTGCCTCCCCTATTTTTTAATGCGAAAGCATTATCTGTCTCATGGAGCGAAACCGACGTTGCCTGTAGCAGCTAAAAGCGGCACCTAAACTGTGTCTGTAGCAGCGAAAAATGGCAACTTAATTCCCAACGGCTGTGCGAAACGGCACCTAAAGTCGACCCATTGGGCAAAAAAACAGAAACGCAGATGCTTCATCACGGTAACAGCGGACGCGACCCAGAAATAAAACACGAAGAAAAGCACTGCAACGAAGATGCATCGTCATGGAAGCCGTGGAGCCGGCGCGTGTATACATGGACTCCGGGCTGGAGACATCTATCCGGAGTCTATGTAGCGGTGAGGTGTCGGCACGTGGAAGCGTCCAAAGAATCGCTAGAGGGCGCTTACCAATCGTCGCTCCCTGTTTCACCTTATAATAGGTCTGTTCGATTCGGCCAGAAAGTTCTGAACTAGTTCTGTCCGAGTTCAGACGAGTGCAGGAGTCGTGCAGCGGCGGCGCAGAACCAGTGCAGCCGCCGCGCTAGGACTGGCGCTGTGATCGGGTTTCCGAGCGGAAGTGCTGGGTGTCGTCTGCGTCTGTTGGCTCTCGTTTCTCCACGCCACGTTGTATGCGACATTTAATTAGTCGAGGTTTGATAAGACCATTCGTGTTTCCTTAGTTTTAAAGTATAATAACGGAATCTTTTCTGTGAATATATAGCCTTGCACGGCCGCTGAGTGGGCTAACTTTCTCGTGCAAATAAAGATTATTAATATTATTATTATTATTATTTTACACGCGGGTACTAAAAACGTTTTCTGCACAAAGTGTGTTTCTGTCTGCATTTTTAACGCCCGTTCAGTTTGTCTCGTTTCCGTAAGCGCTCGTGTCCTTCACATTCATTTAGCAACAGTAGATTCATTCCAAGTCTCTTGAGTTTCGCATTTCGACGATAGGTTCGCGGCATCAGGATGATTTTGCGTCGGGAGTCACTGGTGGCAGCGCGCGGTCGATAGCGGTCACCTCGAAGACGAAGGCCTGACGATAGCGTTTTGGCCAATACAGTTAGCGACCGTAACTTTGGCGTCAAGCTGAAGCGTTTATGCTGATTCTCAAGAAAACCTGCATGGAACTACCAAGCCAATGCCGATTCTTGACGCCGTTTTCCCAGGCCCGTTAGTGGGTGTCCAGATACCAGCGGACAAAGCGTGCAGTACTATGCTCAGCTACGGGGCATGCGAGGGCCAATGTACTAAATCCCATACCTCTGCAATGTATCGGAGTCGCCAGTATGCACCCAAGAGCAACTGAAGGCAGGGACTATCAAGAGTGCAATACCTTTCCCATGTCTGTAAGGAAGAATATCAACACTGTAGATCTCGATATAGCACCAAAAATAAACAATTTACGTGAGCGAGTATTTCAACACTTACCACAGTGAGCCAAACCTACACGAGCAGGTGCCTAAAACGCTTTCAGAATATCATAATCAATCAAATTTCTACCCTAGGTTATGATCTCAATTCTGCGTCCACCGCGGGTACGTTGTTATCATAAATGAGAGGAAATGCAACGTCCGTATCGGTGTTATTGTTAAACATCGCAGACATTTGAGCAAGAGCCGCGAAAAATGGCACTGTGAGCAGAGACGGACGAGGGGTGTCGTCTGCTATCGCCGTCTGCTCTTGTCAGCTGCTTTTGCACGGACGCTGAACTGACTCCGGAGCCGAGGAACTGGGTCTGAACTCCTTCGGAACTATGATGAATCGAACGCGCCAGTGCAGCGGCCGTGCAACTTCCGGTTGAATCGAATGCACCGGTTCCTGCACTCCTGAACTAGTTCAGCCAGTTCAGGCCAATCGAACAGACCTATTGTACCGCAGGAAGGTCTACAGGCGCGAGCTCCTTGCTCAGGGCCACGGTGCTCAGGGTAGAGCACTGCACGGGCCCGGGCCAGCCCGAAAGCCCGAGCCCGGCCCGGCCCGCGGGCCGGGCTCGGGCCGGGTAGCACGTATTTTCTCGGGCCCGGGCCGGGCTCGGGCTTGAACAACAAAGTTCTCGGGCCGCGCCGGCCCGGGCCGGCCCGGGCCGTGCCTGGGCAATCTTGTGCCGTAAATCATAAATTGTTGTTGATAGCAAGAGGTTTGCTCATTAATATTTTAGGTTCATTGAATACAAAAAAAGCGAAGTGCAAATTCACTACAGCGTCGTTAAAAATAATAACTAAAAGACGTCTTGAAGCTAGAAAGCCTTCAAGCTTTTACCGTGTGAGCGAGGATTGTGTTATAAATTGTAAACAAAATAAAGTCCCAGTCATATGCTTGTCAACCTGTCTGATTCATCTCTCTCAATAATATCTAGTTCACATTAGGAAGATTTAGAAAAACGTACGCAAGCGCTTTGGGTAATAGCGTTGCGATGTAAAACTTATGGCGATGCTAATTTTAGCTTGCCCAAAGTGCTTGAGTACTTTATTCTACGACTCCCTTATTGCACAGAGCGCGACACTATATTAGCGCGAACAAGCGATCGTCGTGTTTTTATGTTTATCTCATAGAATCAAAACGCTGTTTTCAAAACTATTAGTGTCTTTGGAAGTGCTCATCTGGGCCACAGACCTAAGCGGTAAACTTTGGTGCCTACTAACACCATTTCGAAGTAAAATTGGAAAAAAGAGCCACCGTCGTGTTCGCGGTGTCAATGTCGCGCAGTGTACATAGTCCGTTCCGCGCTTGCACGTTTTGGGAACCATCTTAAAAAAAAAAAAACGTTTAAAGGGGTTAAGTAGGAATATATTAAACTTTAGCTTGCCTGAAAGGGTTGTATATTTTAAGAACGCGTTGACATGTAAAGCTACTTCAGAACATATTCTTAAACAGAAAAGGTGCGCAGACCAGGCTTAGAACGACGGAGACTTTTTGCGAAGAGGTTGCGATGTGCAGGGACTTTTAAAAGTAGGTTGAAACGGGACGCGTTCAAACGCAAAGGGTGTTTCGGAAACTGGTTCAAATAAGAAGCGCGTTTAGGGAATGGGTCGAGACAGGACAAATTCAAACGAGAAGGGCGTTTAGGGAACTGGTCGAAACGGGACGGGTTCATATGGGAAGGGTGTTTAAAGAATGGGTCGAAACAGGACGGGTTCAAATGGGAAGCTCGTTTCGGAATCGGGTCCAAACAGGACGGGTTCAAACGGGAATGGGTTGTTTCGGGCTACAGCCATCGGGCCGGGTCGGGCGGGGCCTAGAAATTAACAATTCTGTCGGGCTCGGGCCGGGCCCGGGCCGTGTCTCTTCCGGGCCGGGTCGGGCCGGGCCTAGAAATTAAAAATTCGGTCGGGCTCGGGCCGGGCCCGGGCCGTGTCGGGCCGGGCCTAGAAATTCCGGTCCGCACACTAAAAAAAAATCAGTTCGAAAAAGAACTTTTTGGAGTTCTTCGGCTTGTCCATATTTTGCACCCTAAAAGGTTCTTTTAAGCACCTTATAAAAAAGTTCTTCATGAAGAACCTTTAAGGAGTTCTTTTAAGTTCTCTTTTCAATGAAACAGTTCTTCGTGAGGAACTTTTAAAAAGTTATTTTCAGCCCTTCTCTCGCTAAAACAGTTCTTGGTGAAGAACCGTTTAACAGTTCTTTTTAGTTCTCTTTTCAATGGAACAGTTCTTCCTGAAAAACGTTTAAAAAGTTCTTTCCAGCCCTTCTGTCGCTGAAACAGTCCTTTTTAGTTCTCTCTCGGATGAAACGATTTTTCATCAAGTCCCTTTAGAAGGTTCTTATAAGCTCTTTTTTAATTAACCAGTTAATAATATGAAGAACCTTTATTGAGTTATTTTAGGGTCTAATGAAATAAGTTCTAAATAACCTTTCAAGTGAACTTTTATGTTGGGTGTGCGAATAACCCCTCGGTTCAAAACGAAGAGCGATATTTCTAGGTTGAACACTGCAATGAAAGTCATTGTGTACAGTGGACTTCTTGAATCTAGAAATATCGCTGCGCTATTTGAACCGAGGGGTATTCGCACACACCAACAGTAAAGTTCCCTTGAAAGGTTATTTAGAACTGTTATTTCCCTAGACCCTAAAAAACTCAATAAAGGTTTTTCATGACTTACTGGTCAATTGAAAGAGCTTATAAGAAGCTTTTAAAGGTATTTGATGAAAAACCGTTCCATCCGAGAGAGAACTAAAAAAAAACTACAAAGGATTTCATTTCAACCGCTACTTGCTCACCCCTAACTTTTAAGTTACTTTTCACTGAGAGAGCTTTCTATTATGAACCTTTTCAATGAAAGATTTGTTGCAAAGACCACTTACCAGTTAACTTGAATAACTTATTCGCAAAAAGCGGCTTGGGCAGCAATTTTAGGTGTACAGTAGCTCTTTTGTAAACCGCTCTTTATCGACTGTCTCGAACTGTTCACAGAGGCAATATACATCACCTAGACGTTTTGTAAACGTCAACAGACGTCCAAAACAGGCTTTGAACGACAAGGCTCCTTTTCTGGGGCACTACATCTATCGCAGAACCACTGGCTTGGATGGGTATTCAAGTACACATTCGTCGTTGATACTCTTGTCAAGACCAAGCATGAGGTATAGGGAATAGAGGCAGGAGAAACAAAAGAGATGCTCTGCAATGTCCAACCTGTCAATGGTGAAATGAAGACAGGATACTGCGGTTCACAAAAAAAAAACAAAAAACATACTGACGTTTATTGAACGTGACTAGATTGAAACTTAGCACATGAGTAGAATGCTTCTCTGCCTAAAATATAGATAAAATAAAACACGGCCTAGTGGAACACTGAAATAAGACACTGAAATTTTGGCCTTGAGAAAATGGAAACAACGTTCTAGATGTCTGACTTCATATGTGGCACGTTAGCGAGCTCAGATCTATTGTTTGACCACTAACAAAAGAAAACAAAAACTGACTTGGAAAAACTTCAAACCCCTTTCTTGTTGTGGTATACTTTATGGATAAAAATGCTATCTTGGAGACGAGATGGACGAGGCAACCACTCAGGTGTGGAAGCAGGAAAAAGGGAATTGCGGCAAAACAAGACTTCTGGCCCCTTTCTTCTCATGATGCCCCTCTCCAACCACACACTGCGAGGGCGCATGGCACAAACAGGTGTTACACCCAGACAAAGAGCACAACGGCACTGCAAATAGGCAGCTGCAAACCAGGCTGTTAGCTGAATTTAGACAGTGTCTAAGTCTTTAAGTATACCCTTTTTAGGTTTGAAGTAACTCAAAACCGGACAAAACTGATCCACCATTCAGGCTGTCTATTGCTTTGAAAGTTTAGTGGAAAAGGCGCTAAAATTACCACTTCGAGAATGCAGAGGGCCGGGTACAGCTAAATAACATCAGTGGTGGTCTTGCCAGCGATGTCTACCCTCCTTGCCTGTGACGTCTGTGCCATTATTTGAAGTAAGAGCTTCACATCTGTTGCAGCCTTGGAGCATTCAGCAGCCATAATCTCTACGTGGTCTGCACAGTTGTCGGTACCTTCTACGTCATGATGTGGAACCTGAAAAAAAAAAAAGTCAGTGCCATGCACACAATATGAGATTTGAAGAACAAAGTTGTGTACCAGACGAACTTCAGCAAGCCTTATTTTATGTTATGTAAAAAATTGTAATTTAAACAGTGGGTGCACGGGTCCAAATAGATCAAGTTATATGCACTCTATATTTTAGCTATAATAAGACAGTTCAATGCAACAAAAGAGATTTAACCGAGAGACAACTAGAGAGTATTTGATATATCTGACAAGCCATGCAACTGTGACTTTTACAGACTACATTTACTGCAATGGGATTCGTTCAAGTCACTTTGGAGCACCTGTTGCAGTAGTCAGAAGTCCATTTAGGAGTAGCCAAAAGTACGTTTAGGAGCAGCTAAAAGATGTATTGGCATGTAAGCAAAAACTTCTTCTTTATTCTTACCACTGTGAATATTATCATACGGGTAATGTGTTGGCATGCTCAACTAAAACACTATCTACTTGGCCCTCCCACTCCTGTGCAACGTTTTGTTAACATAAATTGCTTGAAAAGTTTGATTCTCTCGAACAAAGCACTATCTGCTTAGTTGCACATAGAAGCACCAGACATGGCAACAGCAGTCTGAGTGATGATGGATAGTATGAACTGCTGTGAATGGTGGTTTTAGGTACGGAATCAAAAGTAAAGCAAACAGTACGTACCACTAAAATAAAATAATGTAAAAATAGAAACATTTTGAGTACTCAGAGTGATGTTCTGTTACAGTTTTAAAGGTTATAATCAAACAAAGATTTCGTCATTTGATTGTGATTATCAATGTCGTATATTTAAGACTTCATAACAAAAATCTGCATGCGAACAATAAATATGCATTTTAAAAACAATCAAGCCGAATTTGGTAAGGTCATTCCCAAGCTTCTAACCATTCCTCTGGACGGGCAACTGAAAACTATAAAGATTCCTCTCAATTTGGCAAAATGTAACAGGCTAAGCACTTTGAAGCATATGGTGCAGCAATTACATAACTGCATTCAGCTGAATAACTATTTAAGAACAGTTCCCGCTTCCAGGTTAGTTTTATTTCTTTTAACTGTATCAGAACCAGGTTGTAACCAACTTACCATGCTCCTTTTGTATTTTTGAATACAGTCACTGCGTTGGCGTTTTTCCTTTCGCTTTCGCCCACCACCTTTGCCATAGTTTTCCTTGTTTTGCTGAACTTCTGGCAGATGCATAAGAAGCAACCTTTCTTTTTTCATTTTGTTAATAAGGCTGTGTCGCAATGAATCTTACAGTGAGGCTGATGAGTAGCAAGCCTGTTACAATGCAGATAATGAACTTCGATACAAGCATTTCAATTGTCAGAATGAAAGCAAGTTCTTGTAAATCTTACGCAGCGTCCAGTGGAGTCGGCCAGGAAGGGGTATGCCGCTTGGAGGGCACGCATGACATGATCTAGCTAAGACCGACTTGGCGTTCTGGAAAGAAAAAACAACAAATGTTAGCCTCTATTTTACGATATATAAGTGAGGACTTCAACTGCTGCTGCTTTCGGAGTTTTACTCAGAATGTCGTCTGCCAACGCAGCGACCAACTTTGTTCGTGCTTCATTTCGCTGTGGTTGAAGGAACAGTTCACTCTTTTCGCTCAGCCTCTGTAACAGTAGCGAGGGAAATTATGGGAGAGTATATCTCTGTGGCCATACATTCCTTACAACCTCTGTAGACCAAACTGAGGCTGCTGTGTTACTAGCACGAGGCACATTGGAGGGTCCAGGCAAGCTGAAAGATAACAATGTAACTAGTGCATCTCGAATTTCACAAATGGAACGCAAATTTCCAATTGGGTAAATTGGGTAACCTTTCTTTTATGTCTCCTTTTAGCTGTTCAATCAGTTTTAGCAGTTTGACTCCCAGTTTCATAGCAGGGAGCAACTGCTCAATTATCCACACTGACAAATTTAGTAACGTCTTCCCATCAACCTCTTCTGCATAAAAGGAGATAAAATATTGCACATACAGTATATATCATACATATATGTTATATATGTTATTGACAGAAGTTATACCACATTTTCTACCCTTTTATTCCGATGGTGTACACAAATATAGTATAAAGAGAGCAGACATGTACAAATTACCCAAAAAAGGTAGTTGAGTTAAGTTACTGAGTATCGACGCCAAAAGTAATTGGAGTAGAGTAGAAATTACGCATTTGTAATAGTAATTGAGTAAACTACTAACTACTGTAAAAAGTAGCGAGTTACTTTGAAGTTACTTTGAAGTTACTTTCGAAGTTACTTTTTTATATTTTTGTGGTAGCAAAATGAGCAGCAGTTTTGATCAATGAAAAACCCTGCGAGCCTAAAGTAAATGCAGTCTATCTATGGCTTGCGTTTTCGCCAAAATAGTTTATTCGCTCGTAGAAGCAATTGCCTTTCAAAGTTCTTGATAGGAGAGTTTTCCCCTTTTCCTTCCAAGGACGTCCCCAGCCAGGCTAAATAGACGTTCCACCGACGGGCTGGATGGAACGGCAGCGTTGAATTTGAGAAACAGGCTGTGCAGGGTCGGGTAAGCGAACGTCGGCATCTTAGGTGTCCATGACTAAACATGTGAGGTTTGCCTCGGGTAGAGGGTCTTTTAAAACAAACTTTCCTCCTTTTTTCTTTTTTCTTCGTCAAGTTGAGATTGTTATGACTGGGCCAGTCATAACAATCTCAACTTGACGAACTTTATACCGATGTCGTTCTGAGAGTACGCTGAGCCAGTGCACCAGACCGTCAAGGATTCAAGTCTCGCGTTACGACGATGAGATCATCCGGACGACTGCGCGTCCCGTTGTAGTGCTAGTGCTACGCTACTGAAAAAAAAAAAAATTGTTTTGGTTTAACAGATGATGAACCGAAGTATACTTCGCCGCTGACGCCGGGTCCAACAAAATGATCTCCCAAGGGTAACTCGCAATCCTCCCCGGCGACTACAATATTCTGATGCGCCTGACACGCCTGACAAGTAAATCGTTTTTAACAAAGAGGAGGTCTCCCAGGCATGGATGGTCGGAAGGACGCAAAGGATTACGTAAACAAGCATCGAGCTGGAAGCGGGAACGTGCTCCCATGAACGGATTATCCGTGCCAGAGTTTGTGCGCGGTGGAGTCCGGCTTTGGAAAGGCGTATGCGCTGACGACAACGCGACCATGGGAACAGGCGCCCAGCTGCGAGGTCATTCCAGTGGCGCCTCCCGTGGAACCTGCCGCTTGAGTCAGAACTCAATAAAGACAGACAACACGAAAACAATAACAACTCTCGGAGTGTCCTCGTCTTTCATGGTTACAGCTGGAAACGCGGCGCCTGCGTGCATTACCGGATTAGGTCAATATCCGACCAAGGCTTGTTAAGCATCTCTTCCTGCGTTCGTGTGTGCCGGTGTTATGTTTTGGCTGCTCGTCGCCACCTTGGCCCATGGACGCCTTCCCGAACAAGGGGGCCCCTTGTTCGGGAATGCCACTTTATCTGCCGGCATCTTATTCATTTCTCAGCTCAAACTTTCGTGATGGGCAAAATTAGAACTATATAATTTCGAAAGTAGTTAGTAATTTGAGTTGAAGTTACCTGAAAAAAGTAGTTAAATTAAACTACTAATTACCCAAATCAAGTTGTAATTGGAAGTTACCAAGTTACTCGAGAAAGTAGTTAAACTACAGTAGTTTGAGTAGAGTAGTTGAACTACGTCCAAGTCTGAAAGAGAGTGAAGATGGGGGGGGGGGGGGGGGGGGGGGGGGGGGGAGGGAGGGGGACAACCATAAAGCAGTGGCATGCATCACCCCCACACTGCTTCTATTTTCTGGTTCCCCAGATCCTCCCTCGACATCTTGATGTTTCATGTGCTTCCTGAAGCTCTCAAATGCAATAAAATATCGTCCAGACGGAGAGCACTCACCCAACTTGCAAACAGAATTAAAGCCCGGGCCACCACGAGCTATCTGGACATCATTTGTCAGATGACTCCCGATGTGGTAGCACTGCGAAAACTTTGAACACTCGTATCCGCTCATGCTGAAATCGCACAAACGACAACAAATCTCGCCAATCGCCGAAAGACCCGGAAGCACTTCCTCGCTCACAAAACATGTCCAAATATCCACACTGCACTACAAGTTTCATAAAAAGATATTCGCGTGCTCATGGAAGTATGGAAGAATAGCGCCATCGAGACCCCGATCAGCCACCGTTACCGGCACTCAACTTGGAAACTGAAAACGCGAGACGAAACCGACGGCGCCAACCAGCACAAACAAAGAGGACGGAGCATTCTGCTTACCTTGGAATCTCTGGGCGAAGTCTCCAAGGTTTTGCTTTGTCAACCAACCTGAAACGTCCTGGAGCTTCCATCTAGACACATGTGTATGTTCTCGCACCGTGACCACATCCATTGAATGCCGCCGACAGAACCAGGTCGAAACAGTAAACAGCGAACCCCGAATCGTTGGCCGCCGTTACTTTCGCCTTTACAGAATCTCACGCAGGCAAACGGCGCGGCGCAGCGGCACCACCGGTACTCCTTCGCGCGCAACCGCTTCCTCGAAAAAAAAAAAAAAAAAAAAAAAAAAAAACGTTATGAAGAACTTTTTTTTAGGCAAATGTTCTTCATCGCCCGGTCGCCTTTCTGGTGCGCCAGGGGGCGACACTGTTTGAGCGAAAACAGTTCTTCACGAGGAAAAAGAGTGCTTGGGGCGGCGAAGAACCTTTCAAGAACGGATTTTTTTTAGAGTGCGTGCAGTGCTCTAGCTCAGGGCACATCTCGGCGGCACAAGCTCTCGTGTGTTAAGAGTAGCCCCCAACGCTATGAGCTCGCGCTTCTAGCCTTGTCTGCGGTACAAAATAAGGGGAAACGGCCTACATGTCTGTCTGTCTGAGGGTGAAGACATCCAATGTCGCCTTGTATATGCCAGCGCGTGACGCTCTCGCGCACTCGGTGCGTGACTTGGGCGGTAAAAGGGCGTATATGCATTAGCCAGAGCTACGCGCTTGAGCTGAGTGACACCAGATTGCGCGCGCTTCAAAATGCATAAAAAAACGATTGGGCGCCAAAATGGCTAAGATGTCACCACTCAAGCAAAAGCGCGCGTGTGTATGAAGGCACCGCTCCTGGATGCGGATGCAATTGCTGAAGGTCGTCGTGAATTAATCGATGCGCTTCGTTGAATTGGTCCAAGAGGATTGCTGGCGCCTGATCGTCATGGGCATTGGCAGCCAGTGTGTCGGCTCGTTCATTGCCGGAAATTCCAACATGAGACGGGATCCACTGCATGGCAAGGGCCCACCATAGGTCCTCCACCGTTTTGGCCTCTGATGCTACCATAGCCAGTACTGGCGTACGTTTATCAGTTCGTTGGAGCTTATTAAGAGTCCGTTAAAATTACAACCTTTGTGGGGAACGTAATGTTCTTGATAGACCCAATTGCTCCCCAAATTGCCACCAGTCTGCCGTTGTTGATGACGTCACGAAGTTAAGTCGTCCAGCAACATCAAAGTCTATGTCTAGAACCGTGATTGTAACTGTTGCTTTCTCCTTGACTCTGTTAATCGATGCGTCTGTAAACACCTGCATCCTGTATTTGTAGGCGTCATCTAGGGTCTAGGCGCTCTATGGCAGCAGACCGCTCAACAGTTGCGGGCACATTTGCTTTTCGCTGCTGAAGAGGTAGATGCTTGCATATCACCAGTGGACGTGTCGTTATAATAAGGGTTAAGGGATAATAAGGGCTTATTATGAGACCCTCATAAAATCAGAGAAGAAGGCGTTGTGGAGCTTCCCAAGAGCATCCCCCAAGGTGTCGTATGACTCGCAAGAATCGGCAGCATCGACCAAGTGTCCTATTAACTTCTGTCTCCAAGGTCTCCAAGACACACGGTCGTCCAAAACAACTTAGAGAAAGGTGTCCCGTCTAACCCTCCTCAGTGGCATCCCAGCAGTTTTAAGCTGCAGATCGTTTTGTGGTGCTCGACCTGCAGGCCAGTAGAGAAGGGAAGCTGCTTTTCTCTGCTGAGAGGGTAAGGCCCTATTTTGATATCATTAGCGCCGTGGCATCAAGGGCCACTTGAAGGTGATTGCGAATTGCGATCTAGAGTCATTGCAATTTTGAAACATATGGGGCTCAACCCGCTGCCTTAAAAAACATAAAAGTCGAAGAAACAGAACGGGACAGGACGACGTCTCGTTTAAGGAACTCCTCGGTCTGTTGTACATGGTATGCTGACAGCTTCAGGTAACTTGACGCGCATAGATCGTCCGGAAAGGAACGCCTTGATAAAGA